TTGAGTAAGCTTGCAAGAAACATAACAGTTTAAAAACTGAATGACTGTCTAGTGAAGAGTAAGGTATTTTACCTGCTTTTTGTTAAGTGCCTTGATTTTAGCCAGGTTTTACATGAGGCAGGGGTTAAGCTGGATGCTCTAAATTGCTAAACTTATTTCCACATTCCTGAATGCAAAGTAAGTTGTCTAAAATACTTTAACAGTTCAAAGGCAGAGAGAGAAGCTTTGATTGATAGATATTTATATCAAATATATATCAGTCATGTACAAAAAAAAACTGTATTAGAAAGGTATATTTTTCTCATGGGCTTTTTGATAGAACACTGTCTCAATGTCCACAGGCAGATAAACACATAAAAGATTCAAATTGAGATGAAATCAAAAGGAGAATCAGATATGAACATATAACAAGGTTACAGTCAGGTAGAAATAAACTCCAGCCGTTATAGCTAGAGATAAGAAACTGTCCAAATACACAGGGAGTGTTACTTTCATTGTATTCTACATACTTCTCTGCCATCATGCATTTACCAATATCACCATCCACAATATCTGATTACAACTCCATTTCATTTTTGTATGAATATCATAAAAACTTGCATCAGCAGATAGTATTTTATCTTGAGCAGCAGCGACTATAAGTGATAATGAATTAGCAATACTTTCCACCGACTGTCTGCGAGACGACTGACAAATCTTCTGAACTGGATCGTCCTTTGAGTACAAATGGAGAGCTCCAAGTAATTAAGTACCTCCGTGATAGAGTTGTGCTGTGGTGCTATGAATCACATGATGTTTACTAGCATTGATTCTTCTCCTGAGTGAAAGCTGGTGGAGCATCAAGAACTCCGTTTACAAAAATCAAAGTAAATAGACAGATCAGGGCCATGTTGATTGTGTAAGTTTGACAGACTGCTGCATGCATAATGAAATCATGAGTAGTGAATCTCTATCGAGTAAGAACTATCTCCTCAAGTAGTGAATCATTATCTGGGATGTAAAAAAATGGCTGCTATTTTCTAAATTAATTTGTGCCACTTTGGCATTATAGAGGGCACAGAGGAAAATCACGGTAAGCCTTTTTTTCCTCTTACGGACATCCAAGACCAATCTTTATTTTTTAAGGGGGTAGAATGCTTTTGATTGAGCTTTCTATCTTAAAAACAAAAACAAATTGTCTATTTGTGGCTGTACAGAATCTAACCCCTATGTGTGGAGTGAGATAGATGAAACTGATGGCACTCAACATGCACATCTTCCTGGCACCTACGTAATGCTAATAAAGATCTGTAAGGAAGAGCCAGACCGTTTGGGTGGGGGGGAAGAGAATATTTTCAGGTGAGATTCTCCACAAGTTGCAAGTATGGTATACATATCAGTCCAGTGTTTCAAGGTTAGTCCTAAAGCCCCTTGATTGATCAAAAAATAACAAATCAGAAAAAGCAGTTATATTACAACGGATCCAAAGGTCAGCACTTGACCTATACTATATTACAGCTGTTTTACCAATACTATTTTGCAGCTCTGTTTCATCTTGGGTTTTGTACAGCTACAGTAATTCTGATCAAAAACCACAAAACCACACAGTATGAAAAAAGTGTAATCTATTGATGGAAATCCACTGGAGCTGGCCAATGAACCATGAATTATATGGTTATGAAATTTCTTCAAATATACTTGACAAAGTTTAAGCATGTTAAACAGTTTTCTTGCAGCATTATATGCTGGCTCAAGCAACCCAATTACAACTTGGCCTCGTAGCCTGCCCTGACTGTCAGTAGGATCACACTAAAACTGCAAAGGCAGACATTTCACTTTGAAAGGATTATTAATGAAATCTCGCTCTTTACACAGTGTTTCACTCTGACATTGGAAGAAGTTCTCTCCGCTCTGAGAGACTGTTAAAGTGGCTGAGTGGACTTGGGGAGGGAATTGCCTGTAATTGTCACAAGAGCTTGCGACTTCAATAGAGCTGCCTTGAAAGCTTTGGTCACACTTTGAATCCCCAACTGTACACGGCACTATTCTAGATTTGTTGGTGTGCTGATCATGAGATCATAAATGGTCAGCCTTGTTTTCTAAATCTGGCAGCAGTATCAGTAAGTATCACAGGAACATCTCAAAGTAGAGTCTCATATTCATGCTTCCAAACATGATCTGAATAATGCTCATGTTATTTGCACAGAGTTGTTCTGATAAAATACCAGTATCAGCCTCTAAAATGTCTAAATGCCTGTTAATTTGCTGAGAAAATCTAATAAAAGAAGTCCACATTATCAGAAGAATCACAGTGTTACAAGAATAACAGTGTGGTGTTAGAAGAGAGTAATGTTCGTCAAAGCTTGCAAAGCATCAACATGTAATGCTTTTTAGCTGATGTCTATATACTTTTATGGCAATGGTATTTTTGGTGTTCTGTGGATCAGTCAATACTCAAGTGTAAGTATTGGAATTGTTAATGTAAAGAAAAAGAAAATCATGAAATCTCTATGAACAAGATTCATTCATCCAAGACGAGAAAAAAACTGCATTGCACCAAAACACATTAAGATAATCAAATATTCACAGTACAGCATTTGTTCGCACATGCATGTGTAAACAATCATCTAAATCTGCGTTTTCAGCATGTTTCCTTCATGTTTCCTCCTCCCTTTGCATGCCTAGAAGCAGACTATGTTTTAATTCTTTTTATATCACCAGCACAACGCCCTCCTCAGATGCCTTGCTGTACAAATGCTGATAGAACATAAGCTCTGGTTGCAGAGGGAACTTAACCAAGCCCTCAGCAGAGAGAAAGCATCAGTTAAATGTAACCAACCTATCTCTAGAAGGTGCATATAAACTGTACTCCATCCTGGAGCAATGACAGACGCTCACACACACACACACACACACACACACACGCATGCATAACCACGTTGGCCAAACCACATGCTCTTGCCTCCTAATGTGGTGACACTGCAGAAGAGGTGCAAGAGGGATGACCCATAATTCATCACCCTCCACCTTGGACATCTGGTGCCGAGTACAACCTGAACGAGGGGACGGCTTGGTATAACCATCACAGCAAACGGGTGTCTCTCCAGGCTCTCTAAGCAATTGACTCATTAGCTCACTGTCGACTGTCTGGTGATGCATTATTCATGGGATGGAAGGGTGGGGCAGGAAGAATGTGTGTGCGTGTCTCTCTGTGTGAAGGGGGTTGTCACAGGTGGCCAGGGGTCTCTTGAGAGGTTGATTCAGAGTGGACAAGGGAGACGATGGTCTGTTCACCAAGACATCATGCAGATGTTGGGTGGATTTAGTGCCGCTCCTGCTAGACATGCGTGAGTGTAAAAAGCATATTGGTGGTTGAACACTACAGCATCAGTTAGTTATTGACAGTACCTGTTAGTTGTTATTTATTGATCGCTTTGTTTTTAAATGTATGATGTAGGCATGGATCATGTGAGCTTGTGAAGTATTTTTTTCACATTTTAAAACTAGATGTCATGACATGGACTTTTTTTAGTGATTATCATAGCTGGTAAATAAGTGTAGCTTGGACTGCTATAACTTTGCTTGACCAAGTGCTTATTTTGACCACTCTTTAGCTGTAGCTTAAAAATTGTTTTCAGCCAGCAAGTTTGCAGTTTGTCTGCTACATTGCTTATAAAGCCATATATTAGCCAACCAACAGTTTGTCAACATTAGCGAGGATGCTGACATTCACCATATTAAAATGTAGAAACTACACATTATCTGTTTAAAATGAAGCTATACTTAGCATCAAGTTAGTTTAGCATAGCATTAAGACTTGAACCAAAGAATTGTTCTCGCTCTCTGAAAAATAAACTTAACTACGAGTAAGTGTTTCAAATGTAGGTGAACTGAGGTATTATATGAAGGTGGTTTATTCCACGCAAAATCAACATGTATGCACTGTAAAGTGTAAAATGTAATGTGTTTCAGTCTTTCTTGGCCATAAAAAGGAGCTTTTCCTAATAGGGGTCACTAAGATCTCTCAGGTCTTGGATAAATCATGGATGAGTTTCAGTTTGTGGGCAAAGTCTTACAGGATGATGGGGTAATCAGCCAGCCTGGAGTCTAGAGGAAGCAATGACAGATGATAATGCAACTGTCTAGTGATTGAAGCAGGTATCAGAAACTGAACACAGCACTAAAATCTGAACAATATACACTTTAAAAAGCATTTGTTCTGGGACAACATGTGCTTGGTGTCTTGCCAATGGGCTTTGGTAAGAGTTGAATTTATCACCTAGTGGCCCTCCAGTACAAGAAGAGATGGATAGCAATAGGCTGGTTGTTTCTCTCCTCGGCATTGAAGGTCTGGGGAAGATGGAAGAGAATAGATGTTGTTTGCTCGTATTTGGTAATCCTGAGGCCTGGGTGCGGAATGGAACTGGAAAAAGATTTTAAATTCAACAAAAGCAGAAACACATGCAAAATTCAGACATATTAACCACAATCAGGAGTGTTTATCTCTCCGATTGCTACAATTTTCTCTTTTTATTCTGAACCCAAATCAGTCCAGTTGAGCCAGTAGTAACTCAAACTATCTCTACAAACTGAAGGTATGTCTCCTACATTGTAAAGGCAGACCAAGAATGATTACTTTTCACAATGTATGACAGACGTCTGAAGATAGAAGACACTTTATGCCCTTAAATAATAATATTGATTCAAAGTAATAAGAATAATGCAAATAACAACACTTGTACTAATAATAATAATTGTTATTGTTTCTATTATTAAGGAGATAAAAGCATTAGTAAAGAGGTAATGAAAGCAATGGAAATAAGTAAAAGCAATAAAAGAAAGTAAAAGCGACAAGTGTAATGAAATAAAGTAGTCAGAGTTAAAATAAGAAAGATAAGAAAACATGTAAGAAGAAGATTTAAATGCAATAAAAAGATGACACTTTGAAAGCAAGTCTGTAAAAATAGTTTTAAGAAGTGACATAAAGGCTGTCACTGACTCTGCTTGCCCTATCTCCTCAGGAAGGTTGTTCCAAAGCAGAGCGGCACTGATGGATAACTGTGAGTGTGTCTTTTATTTTTCTTATTTAACAAATGTGTGTATTTTGTTTGTAAACTAGTCTGTAAGTTATTTTGTGTGCTGTCCTGTGAGGTGTCCTGTAACTGTATCATGTTTTTTGTGAGTACCTACCAATTATTGCTGATATGTTGATTAATGTGCACTGTCCTAATTCAATAAATGAATAAATAAATGATGGCAAAAGCAGTGTCTGCTTTAGATTCAAGCCTTGACTTTGGAATAACCAGAAATCCTTATGTGAACCAGAAAACACATAAGGATCTAAGGCTGCAGGCTGGCTCATCCAGTGTAAATAGTGCTCTTATAGCTTGGAGTCAGACCCATACGTGCTTTAAAAGTGATAAGTAAAATCTTAAAATCAATTCTAAAGCAGGGAGCCATTGTTAGGAAATAGATAGGTGGGTGATGTGATATTGTCTGTTACAACCAGTAAAAGCCTTGCTGCTGCTTTATGAACTAGTTGCAGGCGACAAAGTGTTTTTTGGTTGATATTGGAAAAGAGGGAGGCATTAATAGAGTCTGGAAAAGATGAATGTGTGTTTTACTTTTTCAAGGTCTGATTGGGGGAGTATTGGTTTTATTGTGGCAGTGGTGTGTATTTGGAAGAAACATGACTGTACGACTTTTTGTCTGTTTTTTTTTTATGTTATCCTTACATTTTAGTTTACAATAATAGTATCTAGACACTGAAACACATATTCACACATGTAAACCATGTCCATTTAAATGAATTCACATTGTGAAACAGTTGCAAATTCCTTCCTGAGGTAGTTTGGACACTAGGTCTTTAAAAACGCTGTATGAAACAAGAGAGGGCAACTTCGCTATCCTCTGAAGGTCATTCCACATAATGGGTGCAACAACACTAAAGGCACTCTTTCCCCATTCAGTTCTAAACCTCAGTGTTTTCTAAGTTATCCAGTTTTGAGAGCTAGTCGAATGGCTCGATATGTTTATGGACAGGAGAGTAGTAAGGTAAGAAGGGAGTTTACCTATGAGTGCCTTGTAAATAAACAAAATACTGTGCTGCTTTCTTCGTTGACCGAACGAGGACCAGCCTACAGAACGATAGAGGTCACAATGATGAGTTTGAAATCTTTCGCCTGTGATAAAGCGAAGAGCACTGTGGTATACGACATCTAAAGGCTTCAAGACAGAAGCAGATGCATGTATGTAGAGTGTGTCTCCCATTGCTGCTGATATTGTACCATGGCCCGGTCGGACTCCTGATTGATGGGGAGTAAGAATGTTATTTTCATTTAAGAAATCTGGCAGTTGCTGATTTACCAGTGATTCAAAGACCTTCGCCAAGCAAAAATGTTTAGAGATGGGTTGGTAGTTGTTAAAATCACTTGGGTCCCCCCTTTGAATAGTGGTAAGACATGTGCCGCTTTCCAAATTTTGGGAATTATCCCAGTTGAAAGGGATAAATAAAAAATGAATAAAATAAAAAATATATGTTAATGGTTTCACAATAAACGAGGTGGCCAGTCTAATGAGACGTGGTTCAAGTTGATCCTCCCCCATGGATTTCTTAGTATTTATAGTAAGTAATGAGGTTAGTACCTCTTCCTCTGTAACTTCCCGAAAGGAAAAAAGGGCTCTTATATTCTGCCTTAAGCAGTCATCTTGAGGCTGTTCATTGATACATCCACCCATATTTGCATCCATAAAAGTATTTCCTACATCATTGAAATGCTGATTAAAATTATGAGCTATTGCTTGATGGTCAGAAACAAGTCCATTATTAGTGACAATATATTGAGGAAGGGATGAAACTGAGTTGGATTTAAGCAAGTTTACTGTTTTCCAAAATTGTGAGGGGTTGTTTTATTGTTAGTTAGTGAGGTGATGAAGTAATTTGATTTCGCTTTCTTTATTAACCCAGAGCATTTGTTTCTGAGCTTTTGAAAAAGAAGAAGAAAATGTTGTGCCATCCAACTGTTTAATCGCTGAGACAGTCTCTTAAAGCAGACAGGCTTCTGGGGTCCTCAGGTCTCAAAGGAAGCTATATCTAAGGTTAATATTTAATTTATTCATTTTGGTTATACAAACAACTTTACTTGGAAAATGCAGCATTGAAAAATAACATCAGGTAAAACTATTGGTCCCAAAAGATTGGTTTAGTGTTCCTAGCATAGACTGTAAATACTAATGGATGAAGCCTGAGTGATGTCACCCACCACCCGCAACTTTCAGTGAATGTAATGACAGACAAAGAGCTGGAGCTGAGAGAGATTTTAAGCCTCTTGACAAACTGTTACATCAGTCAATAAGGTCAGCCACACGCCCTAACTATGTAACTCCTATCCTTCATAAAATCAAAACGTATAAGTTATATAAATTATTCGTTCCCCATACAGTGTGTGCTGATGAAGACAATAACTAATCAAACAAAAATATTCATTTTTTTAGCAGGCTGCAACCATATTAATTTCTGCTGTAAAAACTGGCTTTTTTTTTTTTAAATGTGGTGTATATGTGACTTCCAGGTCTGTTTGAGTCAGCTTAATTTTTTTTGCACTTCCCATTGGCATCAGCTTTTACACTAGAGGTTGCGTCTTGGTTCCTAGAAACACAACTGGCTTGGTATGTGGCTGGAAAGTTGGCAAGAGTACTTTTAGAGACTCCTACTGGTTGGTTGAGGTAACTACACAGTCGGTTGCATGGTGGTTTCTACACACCCTCCAAGTGAAATCTGTTATTCTGAAAATGAATTGACACATTTACATCCTTCAACGTCCTCATGACAACATTTGTGAAAATTATTTATTAATTAAAATAAGAATGAAAAACAAAAAAAGAGTCAAAGATAGCTCTTTAAAGATATAAAATAACAAATTGTGTCGCTATAAAGCTAGGTACTAAAAATCTGTAAAACCTAAGGTGAAGTATGGACTGTACGATATCACCACGGTTAGTTCAGTCATTCCCTCATTCTGCAGCACATTGCAAAATGTTATTGCCATGTCTGTGGTCATTGCATAATTGCTAATCAATGTATCGATTGATAAGATTTATTAAGTCCCATTATTATTTCAAGACTCCTGATATTTTATCTGCTTTGGGAGCAAAAGTGTTCTGTGATCAATCGGCTTTTATTGAAGCGTTAAAATCTTCCATGATATATCGAAAACTACGTCACAACTGACTTGGGGGTTCGATCTTGGTCTTCACTACACATTGTGTTTAAAAAATATAACTCTCTTGTGAGACTAAGGCCAATTAGGGTAGCCTGGCCTATTGTGTGTGTGTGTGTGTGTGTGTGCCTGTTAGTTAGTGTGCGGCTGGATATTTTACTGTGCATCTGTACAATAAGGGTACCCTTGGGGGTGGGGGGCTGTCTTAATGACACGATGCTGCAATCTCCAGTGTCGATGCTTCCTGCATTACAATGATTTTGGATGTGTGTGTGTGTGTGTGTGTGTGTGAGAGAGAGAGAGAGTGTGTGTGATTATGCTAGCACATGTAAACAAATCAATATGATGAAGGTTTCAAAGAGTAAACATAATTATCCCTGAAATGAAAACAATCGTGTCTGAGCAGTAATTACAAGCTATAAACCTCTAAATCTTTCTTGCTAAATGACATACTAACATACCTTCCTCTCTTTAACAAACCCCCACCTCTTATCATACATGCCGTTCACACAGAGAGGCAGCTAGAACAGAAAGATTATCCTGATTAACAACACTTCTCTGCTCAGGGTGGATCGTTGGCATTGAGCGGATGAGAAGACTCCATAAGATAAAGCTTCTATAGATGTTGGCTCGTACCCCAGGACTGGGCATCAGCTGTCGAAGTCTTTGTCCAGCAGATAACAGCACACTGAGAGTCATGTTTGAGCGTCATGCAACCAAAGCCAGGCTTTGACATTTGCAGCATCGATTAGACTCTCAGGGAACTGCATTGTCTAACTTGACAAAGGCCGAACAGGCAAACAAAAGCTTTCACAAAAGCAAAGAAATATCCTTCTCTCTTTTCACCTCGACATCTCATCCTTGATATGTGCCGGCTGGCTCATTGTAGCTCAAGGGTTTTATTAGCTGCTAATAGGTATGTCATTTCAAAGTGACAAATCTGACAGCTATTTTACCCAGGGTATGGAGCCGCGGCTTTAATAGAGCCATTGGTCTGTTTCCTGCAGGAGAGACAGAAGGCACTGGAGGCGCAGTGTCTTTTTTTTGTTGCTCTTTCCTGCTGACTTAATGTGAGCTGCAGTGCAAAAATCTTTGTTCCACCATGAAGGGAATTGAGTGGAATTCAGCAACAGTGTGTTGTAAGATAGCACGGGTTGATACTTGGGTTGCAAATCTTAAAGACAGACCCCCACTCATCCTGCATTCTCTCCGAGTCACCCGTGATGGCTTGCATTATGCTGGAGCCGTGCAGACGATAGAAATTTCCCGCGATGTGCTTTACATAACAAGATGTTCAGATAAAGCAAGAAAAAAAAAAAGAAGCCAGAGAGCTCTGGGTGCACACTTTATATATGGTAAAATAAGATGTCTTATCTTTCTTGGTTTTTGCAAACTCTGTCATGACTGTGATGACAGTGACTTTAGGAATATTTGCATATGAACATTTGTTCTCCTGGACAAACTGTACCTCTGTGCATTTCTTCTGTCCCAATGGCAATACACTCTTCAACATCTACTTCAAATTTGAAACGTGTCAAAGCGGACAATCTATGAATTTTTATTCCTTTACTGCATTTTATTCAGCATATTTGGCTGGTGAAGACTTGTTGAATTATCTCCAGTGCTTTCCGTTGTATTATTATTATTAGCTATATCTTATTCTCCTCAGCTGCAACAACCCAGTTCCCCCACAGGGATCATTAAAGTTTAATCTAAGCTGAACTAAAAATCTACAACATGAAATGATTCTGCTCCCATACAAGGCTGGATATAACTGTAATTTACTGTCGCAGCACCCTAAATTATGACAGCAATAAAATAATCATCATTTTGTTGCCGTA